AGAGAAATGTGTAAACAAGATTCAGGGTTCCAGAATCAAAAACAATGACAACAATAATTATATCATAGGGGGATAGAACATACAAAATAAACCAAAAAAATCACATGCATATTAAAAACAACAGCAACAAAGAAAAAAATCTCTTGTGTCCATATATTGGAGTTCATTTCACTTAGCATCACTTAGCATCATCTTATATGTTCATATGTACATAGATTTTGGCATTTTCTGCTTGTCTGGTAAGATCATCCTAGACATATATTAGTTATTGCAAATAAGGGAAACCATGGGCCTTATGTTTCTTTGGGCCTAGCTTACTTCACTTAATATGATTTTTTCCAAGTCTTTCCATTTCCTAACATAGAATTCCATTATACACACACACACACACACACACACACACACACACACACACACACACAGCACAGCACATTTTCTTGACCCATTTATCTACTGAGGGGCATCTGGGTTGGTTCCATATCTTAGCTTTGGTGAATAATACTGAGATAAACATTGTGCTGGTAGGTTTAGTATGGACTTGTTTATGATAGTGGGATTGTTGAGTCATAGGGGAGCTCTATGTGGAGTTTTTAGAGGAACTTCCATCCAGCTTTCCAGAGTGGTTGAACAAGTTTACTCTCCCACCAATGCAGTAGGGTTCCCTTTTGGGGTAGGTTATGAGAAAGAATGATGGGGGAAATATGAATGAAAGGAAAAGATTAAAAAAATACTAAAAAAGCAGAAATCAAGCAGCTAACTCAAACAAGAAGTAACCATTAACCTCAGAACAAAATGAAAACAAATCAAAACAGACCAAAGTCATCAGTCATCACATACACACACACACACATACACACACACACACACACACACACACACACACACACACACACACACACACACCACATGAGGAGTTTTCAGTCAGTATCCTTTGTCCAGTTACAAATTGTTGCCCACCCACTTCTCTCTGAAAGATGATTTTTACTTTCAGTGTCAGTTTCCATTGTAGTGGAAAGTGAGCTGTGTCTCTCTAGAGATCGTCCTCTGGTTGTGCTGAATGTCCTGGCAAAGACCCAGGATAAAGTGAAGTACAGAAAGTCTCTAAGGCTGCTGTTTGTGTGTAGAGGAAACCAGTGCTTCTGTTTTGTTGTTTGTTTGTTTGTTTGTTTCCAATCAGCTCCACAATGTTAAGGCTTGCCCAAGTGTCAATTGACCCTTCCCTCAAGGTAAGTGAGCGGCCTCTGCCACTGCCTGTAATTGCCCAATGTACTTGTCGACTAGGACCCTGTTGAGAAGTGTGGGCAGGATTCATAGGAGTGTGATACAACTAGCTTGGGCAGTGATTGCAATGCAGTCCCACTTGTGCAGTGGTCCCTGAAAGATGGGTTATAACCACACCCAGCAGTGATGGGTTTTGGGACCCACTGAGTCTGTCATGTCTTGAGACCTGGCATGGAATATTCAAGTGCCTTTCTCCTTGCTCATGAGGAGTTTGGCCACCATGGATGGCAGCAGGGTGTCTTTCCTAAATTTCTCTGGTGTGATGGCTACTCCATGGTATGGAATAACTTGTGTGGCCAGTGTGAGGCTCCTGTCTACTGTTTCTCTGGTGTAGTAAGAAAATGTCACTGCTTGTACCACTGAGCACTGGTTTGGGGGAGAGGGGCTTGGCATGTGGTTATTTGTTTTGTTATTATTTTCCCAATCTTATAAATTTCCAAATGTTATCATTTAGTTTAATTGGTTTTGATGGTAAGGTCTTATTAGTAAGTTAAGAATAAAGAAAGAGCCAAGAATCAGTGAGGTTCCTCAGCTGATAAAGCACAAATTTAACTTTGGCAGCACCATTTTGGGGTTTTTAAGTTCTACCTTTCTCTTATTCTTAGTCACTCTCCCTTTCTCTCTCTCTTTCTCTCTCTCTCTCTTTCTCTCTTTGTCTTTCTCTCTCTCTCACACACACACACACAAATATACCATACTTGTTTCTTACAAATATTGTTCAGTTATTTTAAATGTGAAAAATATTTTTCACTGTTTTATTATTCCCATAGTATTTGGGATTGAATTCATCACCCTTTAGATGTTAGGTAAGATTTCGACCAGTTGACACAAAATCCAGACTATATTGTTTAGCTTCTTTCTCAAATATTCCAGGGAATAAACCCATGTAGCTGGGATTTCACAAAGGAAACACTATGGCTCACTTGTTGCTTTTGCAGAGCCTGGCTTTGAACCACAGTCTTCTAGATAACTTCATTTGCCTAGTTAGTATTACTGTTAGCTCTGTGCATGGCTAGCCATTTTGTAAAAGACTTGCATTGAAAAGGGCAAATCTCTAAAGTTCACATAGCAAATTAAAAACTTGAAAAAATGACACAATTTAGCTTCAACAGGCTTGTTACAGGTTCGACAATAAGCACTTAGTTATTTGGGAGTGTAGTATGCTGTTAGCATCAATGCTTCTGCACTGAAGTGTCTAGCATTTAGACTAGAATAGATTTCTCTAATATTTCCATGCTGAAGAATCTGCATCATTCAACTTCCCTTCTTGAAATTGAATCTGGGAGTCGAGACTAGACCAGATGTATTGTGATTATATTAAGGTGTTCACTGCAGTATTAAATCATTATTCTAACGTAGTGCATGTATTAAGTTGATGTTTTGATTTTCCAGTTCTTGCTGAATATGACAGAGATTCATAAGATTTCTGCTCCTTAGCCATGTGAATTCTGCAGTGCATTCTGAACCCATGGCCTAGTACACACATAGTCTTTCCAACCCTACCGTGCTCCATTAAGTCTCAACTCCCATACTCAGTCAGGACTATGGTACCCAGGAGACAGCACAACTAAGCAAATGTGTCTTTAGACTCAAGTTTATCTAACACTCTATAATCTTCCAGCACCTATTCTGGACTTAAGATTTTTCCGCTTCAACTCTTTTAGATAGCAAGCACAACAGGTTTATATTACCTATTTAAAGACTTGTCGTTTACATGAAAACATAAAACTCAAATAGTCATCAAATTGTGGAGGCTAATTCATACATTGAAAGCAGAAATCATTCTTGGAGATCCATTCACACTACATGTATCTTCTTCAGAATTTACTCAACATGTAGTGGGTGCAGTGTCTACCTTAGGGGGTGTACTTCTTTTGTTCCATTTTTCTTTCAGTTTTTAGGATTCCTTAATAGGACTAGGGGTTTTCATGTGAAAATCCAGAGATGTGTACAGTACATTTGACATACTGATCCTCTCCACTGTATGGCCTGCCCTTCCCTCTCACTCCCCCTCTTCTTAAAACAATGCTTGGGGGTTTTATTTTATAATTGATCAGTGAAAGACTGGCTGAGAAAGAAGAAAGAGTGAGCTGACTTGTCACATTTTTGGCTTTATAAAGAACATATGATTTTTTTTGTTACACTTATTGTTTTCTCACCTCAGCAGCCAAACTGTGGCCCTTTATGTTACAAGCACTAAAACCTCCCACTACTGGATAAAATCCGGCACAGTTTCAAAAATGGTGACTACTGACGCGATCATCATGCAATGCGGTATAACTCTATAAGAATGTAACAATCCTATAATAAAACACATATCCTGGTATAAAAAATTAAAACTGCCAAGAAGCCCAAGTTAATCTGTAAGCATTGGCTTCTTTAACCCTTCCCTGAGTCCCCCTATGCCAAGTCATTTCTCCTGTGTTCTAATTGCATATCACATCCACCTCTTCTCTGTAGGTCCTTCATTTGCTTCTCCATTTTTCACTGGACCTGAATGAATGCTGCCTGGTGTGGTGCCCTGAGATGCCTGAAATAGGATGGAGCCCCAGGAGGATGGCCTGCTCTCCCAACTGATCCTGGTGCACAGAGAAGATAGGAGCTGATCAGGGCAAGTTCCCGCCTTCAGTGTCATCCCCATCAACATTTCAGGCACAAAAGTATAAGCACCCTATTGAACGCAACACTGCCCTGCCCGACCAAACTCCTACCCAGCAAGTGAGCCCATCTGTCTGTGCAAAGACCATAACAAAATGTGGTCTAAAGGTCCTTAGTCAGAGTGTCAGAGTTGGGGAAAGATCCCCAGCACCTCTGGAGAGGCAGTGTGCTCACTGCATGACCCCAGCTCTTCCTCTTGAGCAGGAGTGCATCAAGTCTTTCTCAGTTTTGCCAAGATGACAAAGGGTCTGTAGGTGTTACACCAGGGGTCAGACCTTCCAAGGGTACTGCAAAAAGGGAAAGTGGGAAGGAATAATAAGAACATGGGGCAGGGGCAGGGGCAGGGTTAGGGGTGGAGAGAGCTGGGGTGACAGAATCTAGGGAATGGCAGAGCCTTTGCCCCATTTCTGTAGGCTTGAGCAAGGATGCATTTAGATGACAAAGATGTCTAGCAGGTTATTCTTAGCAGGTCAGTAGTGAAAAGGGACAAACTGGCTGCCCAGGCCTGCTAGTCTTTCCTCTTCCTTCCGCATTTGCTCAAAGTCTGGCAGCAGTGGCACTATGCGCTGCACACTGGGGTTCTCCAGGAGTGAAGCCCCCCATGTCCCTCCTCCTGCAAGCTCTTCATCCTTATTGAGTCTATGTCTTCAAATTCATCAGCACAGGCTGACTCAAATTCTTGTGGGCCTCTTGGGCCTGAGGGCTTCCGAGGTAGGCTCTGAGAGGCTGTATGGGACTTACCCTGCTCAAGCTGCAAAAGTAAGTCCTGCAGCTCCAGCGCCATTGTTTGTATGTCCTGGTCCAGCTGGATGATGTATTGCTCGTTCTCCCTCTGTTGCTTCTCCAGCACCACCGTCTGATTTCCATAGAAACCAGCGTCATAGAGATTATGTCCACCTCTCCCCTGAGCTGCATAAAGGGGAGTTCAAGGTCTTCTACTCTCTCTTTCACAAAGGTTTTGAACTGAAGGTCTTCCTTGAAGAGCTTTGTCAGCTTTTCAATGGGCTTCATAATGCCTTATATTTCATAAGAAATAAAGTCGCTGTTCCCTGCCCCCATCCTCACCCCCCCCAATGTGGAGCCAAGGCCTCTTGCTCAGGCCTGGTGTGGTTCAGGGCTGCCAGTTGAGCCATGTATTGGCAGAGCAATTTCTGCTGCCTTAGTTGGTGCCCCAGCCGGGTCCTCTCTGCATCAGAAGAGGTTTGAGCCTCAGAGAAAAATGTAATGATGTCTTCTCTGCTGTCTGTGCTCTCAGGGATGGTGAGGGTGAGTCTGGCAGCCTCATCATCCTTTGTCTCTTCTGTTTCACTTCCTGCAGGGAGAGCCAGGAGACTCACCTGAGCCTGCAGCTGCTGGTTCTGCTGCATGGTAGCTGTGAGCTGCTCCTGGGTCTGCTGCAAATTCTTGTTGACTGACTGGATTTCCCTCCTGCCCTGCAGTACCTCCTGCTGCAGCTGCTCCAGCTGCTTGGCCAGTTGTTTCTTTGTGTGCTGCTCTGCCTGCAAGGTGCTGGTCAGCTGGGTGTTGTGACTGCTGAGCTTTCCCAAGCCATCTTGCAGTTGGGCCAGCTGGTTCCTGAAGTGCTGGTTCTCTCTCAGAGCATCTCTTATGGTGCTTTGATTGTGGATCAGGGTCTCTAATATTTGATGTATGTGAGCTTCTGCCTGTTCATTGCACATCTTGGAGGCCAGCTCTAGGGCCAGCAGCTGCTCTTCCTGCTGGAGATTTTGTTGACTTAAGGTCTTCTTGACTTCCAGCTGTGCTTGAAGCTATCTAGCCATGTTCTCCAGCTCCTCTTTCAGTGACCTCACTTATGTTTCCAGGTGTGCTTTTTCTTTAATGGCCTGTTGCAAATCCTGAGGACTGGCTTGGTGTGCCCACAGGCCAGATCACTGTTATGGGAGTATGGGTGATGTTGCTAGCTCCTTTTGGAACTCCTCCATTTTGTGTTCTCTGGTTGCTTTTTCATGCTGTAAAATTTGAACATGTTCTTTCAAGGTGGAGTTGTACTTCTGTATTTCTTCCATGGTCTTGTTGGTTTTCCCCAGGTCCTCTTGAAGGCTGTCTCTCCATCACTTTACCTCCCTAGAGAGTTCCTTCTCCTCCTCTTGCTGGGTAGATGTGGCAGAAAGGACAGCCTCTAGCTCTGCCACTCACACTTGGGAAGACTGCAGGCTGGTGGCAAGACCCCGCATCTCCCCTGAAGTCTGAGCTGCTTCCTGCTGAATGTGGGCCAGGTCTGTGTTCAAATTGTTCTTTTGTGATTCTAGAATTTCAGTGGTTTGCTTATGGAGCTGCAGGTGTTTGCTTAGCTCCTTGTTTTCTTCCAATATCTTTTGCTGGTTCGCCTTCTCTTTCTGTAATTGATTCAGACTATCTTTGCTTTGTTTGTGCAATATTTTTACCTTCTTGGCAAGTTACAAGTTAGTTTTACAGCAGGTGTCCAGGGCTTCTGCCAACCCTTCATATAGGTCCTCGAGATCTTCCATCATTTCAGAACATGGGAGATTCTCCCTGTCTTGATCGAATGTGGTATCAGACACAAAGCTAGTGAGCTTTTCAAGAAGATGTTTCAGGCTCTCGAGTCCAGCCATAGTGTTCAGTCTGAGGTCAGTATCATGGCCTTGAACTGATGCTGTGTTGATTGTAACAGGATGAGGGGAAGGGACACTGGGAGAGAATGGAGATTCATCTGCCCGTGCAGGAGCATTGTGGTCTTGGAGGGCCTCTTCAGGTGGCTTACCCACAGGGTTGGTCTCAGATGCACTCTGGCTTTGAGGCTATATCTTCTTGGCTCCTGCAGGACCTGCCAGGCTGCTTCTCTCATGATATTGCATGAGATTTTTCCTGGCAGCAGCCAATTATTGTTGTCTCTGGTTTTCAGACATGGCAGGGGTGGGACAGGAAGGTGTGGGGGGCACTTAACAAGGATTCTAGCAAATACAATTTCTGATCAGTCACCAAGCACTACCACCTCCACAACTCCTAGCTGTGGTGTGAGCCAGAGGGAGAATTCCAGGGCAGTGCTAGGCAGCACAGAATGTGGGTTTGGCCAAGGTCTCTCATCCCATTGGTCAGTGAGAACAAGGCCAGACAGAGGCGTGGTCTCCTTTCTTTTCCTGGAGCCAGGAGGACCTGCTGGAGTCCCAGTGTGGGCTGTGGGCAAGACTTGCCCCAACCTTGCCCATCTGTGAGGGATGGAGACATATTTTGGTGCTATTGCAGCAGATTTGCATGCAATGTGTCATTCTTCATCACAGCAGTATAATTACCTGGTGGGCCTAAGAGACTGCTCTCTATGGTGCCTTTGACCTTTCTGTTCTACTGATCCCCTCCTATTGTCCTAGATGTCCCTCTGCTCAGGGTTGAGGAGTTGTGGGGACATGGGCAGTAGGGGATAGTTTACCATTTACAGATCTTTTTCTGATGCCTCACAGCTCTGCCTTGTATTTTCACTTATTAGAAATCACGGAGAGTGCATCTTCTCATCTAACTCCATGCAGTCCTTTTCTCACAATTTCCTATCTCCATTTCCTCCAAGGTCCCTCATCCTGGTGGCTCATTTGACAGTCTTCCAGACTCTGGGCTCCTAGTTTGAAGCTGAGAAGAGTTGCCCCAAGTTTGCCAGCACAGGGGCATGTCTCAGGCACCAATGCAGGTTTACATTCAATGTGTAATTCTCCCTCACAGAAATATAGTTACCTGGGCAGTCCTAAGATTCTGCTCTCTTATCCCTCCAGTGACACTTCTCTCCTCACGGTTTGGTGGTAGCGCCACACCCATATGCCCATCGTATTATCACTTACCTTGGAGCCACGTTTTTTAGTCTGTCTTCAAAGAGACAGAATTAAATGTCACCAAGATACAATTAAATGTCTGTGGATTCTCTTATGAAAAATTTGTAGAATGTTATTCTGACCGGAGTGAAGGGGAAGGGGAAAGAAAGGGTTGAGTGAGAGCATCTCAGACTTAGGAGGCAAAAGCAAGCACCACAAAGCCCTCTAAAGGCCCTCATACAAACTCTGGCTAATAGAAAAGTGGGAATAGGCCTGCCTTTGTGTTCCTGTTATCCTCAGTCACTGGCTGAGCAGTGTACAATGCCTCAGTACAAACTCAGTGATGCACTTGTAGGAGTACAAGAGATCTTTGGCAGTTAAGAGCAGCTCCACCTCATAGCCAGCAAAGATATGAGGATTTCAGCTCTATAATACTTTATTCCTTTTATCCTTACCTATTGCATGCCATATCATATATCACTTTCTAATAGTCTGTACAATTTATTAACTTCCTTCATTATTTCTGTTTCCCTCCACATGAATTTTCATTCATTGTGTTCAATATTGACAGATTTTTGCACCTTATATATAAATTGTACCTGGAACATTATGAAATGCTTTTTTAAAGTGAATAAGTGAATGAACATTTTTAATTCTTCCACTTTTCTCCATGAATTAGATTTTGTATCTAATTTAGTATGCAAGGTATAGTTAATATACAATTGAAAACATGGAATATTGGTAGATTGAGCAGCCTAAGAATGACAGAGAATAAAACTGACAAAACAGGGTAACAGTGCTATTGAACTGTTGCCTTTGTGCCTAGAATAGCAATCTATCTGTAAAGCCTGGTCACACTGATTAGTTGTTTGTTCCCAGGGACACCTAGCCACATACTTTTGGCTCAAAAATTATGAAGGATATAGCTAAACACTTATCACCCTGTAACTATCCTGTAGCCATCCACTTAGTAAAAGAAAGCTGATAAACCCTGACTTTAAATTTTATAGTTTACAGAACACATCCAGAACTGGTTATTTTAGCAGTGGCACTCACCTGAGGTCCCAGGGATTTAGCTTCACCTTAAAGATATATGGAGATTTCCTCCAACTCTGTAACTTTGAAGGCACAGAACCCAGACTAAAAGGATTTCCAAATTGAAATCAGTATGGGGGAGGTTAAGTCTAAAATAATACTTGGCCATATTAAAGTATTTGAAAAATGGAGAAAAATGGAGAACAGGAAAAATATTCTCTCAAATACCACTTTCCAGAACTACTGTCTACAGATATTTTAGTATACACCTCTCAATTTATCTCTGTAGTCTTTTAGTACATAAATAAAACGTTACAAGCAAAACTGATATTTTTAAAATACTACCTCCTCAGATTCACCTCAGAGCCAGTAACTGTTTAAAATGTGACACATCCTTCAAATCAACATTGTATATTTTTATGTGTTTGTTTGTGTGCCAATGCCTCAAAGCATGTTGAAATTTAATTACCATCATGATAATATGGGATTGTATTATGATAGTGGGGTTTTAATACCATTAATGGATTAACACTGTAGTGTTAATAGCTAATTATTATAAAATGATTCTCTTGCTTTCTTTCCCATCATCCTCTCTTTTCCTCAGTCTTACTTACTTCCTTTTTGTATTCTTTTTCTATTCTTCCTTTTCTTAATCTCCCCTTTTTGTAGTCTTTCTCCCAACTCTCTCATTCTTTCTCTCTGTTATAAAACACACACACAAACACACACACACATTCACATACATTTTTCGCTTTCTCTCTCATCATACAATACTTCCTTCATGTTATGAGGACCCATGAAAATCCCACCAAACACAGGTGTGTCATGTTCATTGCACTTTCCAGCCTGTAGTACTGTTAGAAATAGAATCTTTTCTCACCAAATCACTGACTCTGGTATTTTGTTACAGTAACAAGAAACAGACTAAAACACTATTGATATGTATTAATATTTTGTGCTTTAAATTTTTGTGTTTTAAAAGTTTCCAGATTATACTACAAATCAATGTTTTCCATTCAGCCTCATATTTTGATCTGTCCATGTTATGAAAAATGAATATGTTGAGAATGTTAACTGCTATCTAATATTTCATGATATAATTAAAGCACAATTATGTTTCCTCTCTGAAAAACATTTCGTTCTTTGCAATATTTCATCATATTCAAAAAACCTAAAATGGATATTCTTAAAATATGACTTCCTGGAACACATTTGCAAGAGTTTCTCTGGACAGTATTTTCAGAGGAGAAATTTCTGAATCATAAAGTATGGACAATTTTAACATCACTTGATTTTCCCAAATGTAATTTTACCAATTTATATTATCAGCAATGTATGAGAGTTATTTTTCCCAAATGCCTGTTGACATTATAGACAGATATACACATGTGTTTATATATATTTTTGTGGGAATGTAATATGTATATGTAAATGTATGTATACCTAATATATGTGCCTATGTATGCCAAATATAGAATGCACTAAATATGTTTTTGTGTTCATTCATGCATTGCATAAGCCTAGATAAGACCTGAAAAACTCTAATGGAAACCACAACCTCGAGAAACTAAATGTATTTAAATAAAGTTTAAGTGCCTTGTCATTCTGAAACTTAATATATAATACAGGTACTGATCCAATTACTCTGGTGTATGAGAAAGTTAGCATGATAAGGCAGTGACAATGATTAAACTAGTCAATAAATGGTATTTGGTCTAGGGCACACATCTATATATACTTTTTTTTTTGCCAGTCCTGGAGCTTGAACTCAGGGACTGGGCTGTCCCTGAGCTTCTTCTGTTCAAGGCTAGTGTCACAGTGCCTCTGCCAGCCTTTTCTGAGTAGTTTATTGGAGATGAGAGTCTCACGCACTTTCCTGCCCAAGCTGGCTTCAAACCACGATCTTTAGATCTCAGCCTCCTGAGTAGCTAGGATTATAGGCATGAGCGCCCAACTTGGATATAAGTTTTCATTGTATGTTTCAAATACCTTCTTTCAAATATTTCCTTGACATGTTAGACTAGATTATCAAACAAGTTTCACTTTTAATTACAGTCAAATTTATCATTGTTTTTTCTGTAAGAGCTGTGTACTCCACTGTGTCTTGTCTAAAAGGAATGTCTTGATAGTCTATCATTGTGTTTGATACGGACTGACATCTCAGATCTACCCTCCATTCTTCTCCTCTACATTCTGCTATGAAAATCTAATCTTCATAGACTATGTCTCTGTGCTCTGGATTCCAGTTTGGTCACTGATTGCATATTCAGGAGATCTATGGGAAAAATAGAAAAGCGAATACATGTACTTACTATTTGATTGATTCCCTAGTTTCTTAAAGTTTTAGGATAAGGACGTTTTTCTGTCTAGGGTCGTAGCTCTTGCTGAGGGGTCCTTCCTACAGCTCCATGTCTCCCCGTTCCTGCGCCTACTCCCTTCCCCTCTCCTTCTCCTTCAAGCATAGGGATTGTAACCATAATGGCTCTTTCCTGTCGCCAGCCTCAGAATGATTCATCATCCAAATTTGTTTCTTTAATCATTTCCATAACTTTGCAAATAGTCCAGGCATTAAACTTTCTTCAGTTACCAGTTGTGAGTGATGAGAGCTTCCTGGCTGGATCCTATCTACTATAGTCATAGTCATGAATATATACTCCTATTTATTCTTCTAATAATTTCGGTTCTGTTGATTATTTATATTTGTGGTATGAGCTCAGGAACTACTTTCATTTTTTTTCCCAAATGGGAACCATGTGTTCAGCACCATTCGTTGATAGTATAGGATTTCACCACTGTTTTGTAGTGCTAGTTCCATAATCGAGTCCTTTATGTGTTAGTCATTAATTTCCAAAAAGTGAGATATTTAAATTCTTTTTTTTTGCAATTTTTTATTGTGGATTAAGTGATTACATAATTTCACACATTTCACAGTATTGTGGGATAGTGATGCTTAGTTAAAGTCACAAACACATTCTAACCTTCATGGAGAAAATTGTCTATCTTAATCTATAAAGTTTGTGAGTTCTATGGGCTTTGACTATTTGCTTTTC